CCCCAAAACCCCAAAACCCCATGGATCCACATCGATAAATAAATCTAAGATAATGTTAAATTATAATACAAAAATCTTAAGTCGAATTAAAAATGTCCTATTTTACTTACATTATTATTGTGATTTTGCTGTATAAAGTAATTTTCTATGCTATTTATATACTAGATTTGTTAAACATAAAAATGCTTTGATTAAGCGAGATATCCTTTGCTTATCGGAGGAAATTAAGATAGCACATCTTTCACATGCTTGGATTCAAATTCTGAAGGAAGTACAGTAATTGGTGGATATACAAACGACAATAAAGTTAGCTAATTAACTGGTACCAAGCCGCTAGTAGTATTCTTAAGAGATGGGAAAATACAATGGACTATGACTTTTAACATTCTAAATTACTATCAAGTGTCAGCTATTGCATTCTAGGAAAGTGTCGAAACCTATATTGCTCTATCATTATAAACAGATTCATTATCTTCTGATCCATTCAATGTTATGGTTATATCATCTAGTGGAACTTTATATGCTTTCTTTATATCAACCTTCGGAATACAAGGCACAGTTTTATAACATGGATTGAAATTTGATGATTCTTAATATATCTATCTTGCAATGCAACCAGTTACTACGACAAAATATTTTCAAATGGTGATTACAGATTTCACGCTTACAAACAAAAATACGAATCTTTTTAAAAAATGGCCATACTCTGGTTCCTAAGCAAATACAGTAACAATCGATGTATCCTAGTCTTATGCTTACTTTGGAGGTATAATAAAGTCCTAAGAGGGGCTCTTTTATAGTTCAATTGTTTCGCTTGCTTCTTGAATGAATGTTTACGAAATATTAGCAATCAGGTATTTTAAATATACATAACTTTTTCTTACCAATTTTATAGAGACAGCACTCTGAGTTAATAATATTCCATAGCATTACTGCAGTATTATAAGCATTCAACAAGTAGTATAAGGTGTATATGTGCATGTGCAGAGAATATTATGAGCATCATGATGATTTAAATAAATATAGCCCTTTTGGGGAACTAAATATCTTTTGGCAAAGCTTTGTAAGCAATATAAAATATTAAATCAAACTATCATAGATGGATCAGTGGTTTTAATAAATGCCTTTAAATCTAAGTGACTGCTTCTGATTGCAGCTAGCAAAAATACTTAATTTCATATTAAAATATCCTTAGGTTAGGGATAATCAACTATCAATCAACTAGCGATCGCAAATATGATATAGTATACTATTCCTCTGATGCAAATAACTTATTCTACTCAGCATGGATGGACAATACTTAAGTACTCTATGTTGGAACCGCTAAATCATTGATCGATTAAGCGCAAACCACCTATACTTTTAATAATAATGTTGGATGGCTAATGAATGTAGATCCAAGTACTAGTGAAATAGTAATTGGTAATTCATTTCAAGGATTTACAATTTGGACTAATACTCAATTCACAACATCACCTTTGAGCGATTAATTTATAAGCACATAGGAATCAATAACCTATTCTTAATAATCTAAAACATGGGCTGAAGCAAATATTGTCGAGTAAATTCCTACAAAAAATAAAAAAACTATTATTCCCAGTACTGTACCAGACTAAGAATATAATGTCTATTCAACTTTAATTTTTGATGTGCCTGCATTTACTCTCCTGGAGACTTGTACTGATGTAGTCTTTACTTATTCCTGTACATTAACCCAAGCTTTAGATTAATTTATTACATTTACGCCTTCAAATAGAAGATTTGTCATTACTAGCATTGATCCGACTATTGCAGGTGTTTATTATCTTAAAATAACTGGAAAAATAAACAATGATCAAAGTGAAACTATAACAATTAAATTGACAGTTAACAGTGAGTGCAAATATTCTTCTATCACAGCTAACTCTTAATTTGATGTTTCATATATAATAAATAGTGGACCATCTACTTTTAGTCTTAATTCTTTCAGCACCAATACTACTTAATGCCCAATTACTTATACTTTGACTAAGATAGGAATATCATCTACATCAAATTTTTTAGTTTTAATAGAAACTCCCCTAAGCATTAGAATCAATACTTAAACTCCCAGTGATGAAGGAGTTTATATATATGAATTAAGAGGTAAGAATTCAATAGGTTCACTAGGATAAGCAATCTAATTTAGGGTGGCTATTAAATCTGAATGTGCAAGTGATGTAATAACTTCACAGTAGATATAAAATTAAATATATTACATTGAATCAGGAACTCCAATTTTGAAATTTAGCTTAGCCTGGAGTCACACCATGAGTTCCTGCGGTACAATCTAGTATCAAATTGTTAATTAGGCTGATAACTCAACAGCTGATTCCATTTTTTATCTTTAGGACAACTAATTTTATGTAAATACTTCTGATGTAGCCAAGATGGAAGAGTATTTTTTGAGAATTATAGGTTAAAATGCTTATGTTAAAGCCATTAGAGATTTTTAAATATCAATAACAACCAATTGTCCATATGCTGTAATTACTCCTACATAAACATTGCCTGACAGAACATATAATCTTGGGTCATAGAAGGTAATATTTTCATTTTAGGATTGGAGTATTTCAGAAATCAATTGTGGCCCATTAACTTATTCTCTATTAGTTGATGATCAAATTATTTTCAACAATGGTATTTAGTTTGACCCTTTCACAAGAGAAATTTCTTATTATGCTACAGATAACAGTATTATAGGGTAATAGACATTTAAGATTAAAGCAATTTCAAAAATTGGAAGTGCAACATAATTTCAGACTTTTATTGTTGATTTCATTAATCCTTGCTTATCAGTGTCTTTAAGCTAAAGTTTCTCAATAGCAGATTAAACAATATATATTAACTAATACCCTGCTGCAGTTTTAACATTACCACTAATTTCACATTCTTAGGCTTTAATAAGTTGCGGAAGTATCACTTAACAAATCACTGATTAAAGTGGGAATAATTTCGATAGTAATATTTTTACCTATCATTAACTAAATAATAGCATAACCATGTTCACCAAAGATAAAGCTAAACTTTCATCTACTCCATATATATTA